CTATATATATTCTATATATATCCTATGTATAATCTATATATATACTATCTATATTCTATCTATATTCTATGTATAATCTATATATATTCTATATAAAGTCTATATATTTTCTATATATATTCTATACATATTCTATATATATTCTATATATATTCTATGTATAATCTATCTATATTCTATCTATATTCTATATATATTATATATAAAGTCTATATATATTCTATATATATTCCATATATATTCTATGTATAATCTATCTATATTCTATCTATATTCTATATATATTCTTTATAAAGTCTATCTATATTCTATATATATTCTATATAAAGTCTATATATATTCTATATATATTCTATATATATTCCATAAATATTCTATATATATTCGCAGATAATATATTTCTGCGTTGATTTAATGAAGCTTTTCCACACATAAAACATTTCACCCTTTACGGTATATCGACATTGTGGCGAGTTAAAGGCACTGTGAATGACAATTTTAGGTATAGCTTTAGTTTAAACGAATGAGGTATTTTTGATAAAAAAAATACTTATTGTAACACAAAAACAACACGAACAGAGTGTAAGTCGTGGACAAATTATTCTGTAAGGTAGACCCTAGCGAACTTACCATAGTTATCGAGAGGGTTGGCGTACTGCGGACAAGGGTACCCAGCGAGTGTGAAGTGCTCCACTAGCTTGTTAGTGTCACCGTAATATACCATATTTCCGGTACACATTAGTGCTACCCTGTCAAGCAATCCAAATATGTCAGATCGAGGCTGGTGGATGGAGAGAATAACAATGGTGCCTCTGTGTGCCAGCTCGGCCAAACTAGTGACCAGGTGCCGTGCCGTGTAGCTGTCCAGTCCAGTGGTAGGCTCGTCCAGCAGCAAGATACCTGGATATACAGGTAGTTTATACAGACGGAGAAAATCATCATTCGGAACCAACAATACGCTGGGTAATAGTTTAATATGTACTCAAACCAGTCTCATAGAAGATAACTCGATTCATTTGTAAATGTAAATGTAAATTATGTCAAATATCTCAGTACTGATGTCGGCTCAACTTTAGGGATACCCATGGCTGTTGTAATGTTTCAAAGCCTTTATCATTTTCAACTAAAAAAGTGTATTGGATTCATGGAATTTGATTTTCCTATGGTCAAATCTATGGCTTGATAAATTCAACGGGTCTCATGAGAACATCAACGAAGAGTTCATAACATTTTCATCAATATTAAATCATGTACTTCGCCATAGCAAGATCAATTTGCTGCTATTCACGTAAGACCCGTTCCACTGTTACGAACATGAACACACGCATGACTACATGTCACATGACTTCAGTGAATGAGGATATGGTTAGGAACACTGTTTACAGTGGTCTTGTGTTACTTGGAGGAAACATCTTATACAGTACACGTTAAATCAGTTCTGCTATGTACTTACTTGGATCCTGCAGGAGTTGGATTGCGATGGTGACACGCCTCTTCTCTCCTCCAGAGATACCCCTGTCTATAAGTCCCCCGATCTTGGAGTGCCTCACTGGATTCAGGCCCATCCGTTGTATCACTGTGTTGACCTGCGCAAATTACACAACTTAGCAACTATAGCCTTTGCCAGCTACTTCGCTATCACGAATATAAATATAATTGTGGCAGCTTACATACATTGGTGATATTAGTCGACTCTATGGTAAATTTGTTATGGCTTGTCTATATTCGACGAACGAGTGTAAAATTCCCTTTTCAAGAACATTTTCTTTTCGTTTCAGTTATTATGTTTATTTTGCAGAAACGGTCAGCTTTAATGTATATCCGTACACGATGATTAAAATGTGTTTTAAACATATTTAACTGATTTTGACTATTTTATTTGGAGTCATAGAAACTTGGACACATTTGGAGAGGAGTCCTGGTATGTCCTTGTCCTTTCAACATATCCACTAAAAATATTAAATCGGTGGTTCAGTTAACGTTGAATCAGTGATTATTAAAGTATGAATTTTATAGAGGTTACATAATGAGTGGTTGTTGAATATGGTATTTATTTCACTCGAGTTAGTTAATTTTCAAAAGTTACAAAAGACACGAGCTTTAGCTGGTGTCTTTCTGTTACTTTTGAAAATTAACTTACGAGAGTGAAATAAATACCATACTCAACAACCACGAGTCGTGTGATCTGTTTCTACCACAATCTCAGTCGGAAACAGCTGTAGTACATTTTGTTGACAAGGCTGGCGTAGTGATATGATCCATATGTAAAAGGTCACTCATTAATATCCAAAAATGACTAATTTTTTTTACAAATTTAATAATTTTCAAAATTAATGTTTCGGCAACAACTTCGTGAAAAAATAAAATAGATGAACGTCTTTAAATATTGAGAGTATGCAATATTGCATTAACTAATATGAATTAACCACGGACTATATGCGCGTAAGCATATCGTACGAAGTCTGCCTCCCGCCAAGTGATAAAGACGAACTTATCGCTGTCAATGTCCAACACCATAGGCCTAGGACGTGAGGTTCTATGGTTGACGTTTATAGTGAGAGTTCCGCCATATCCAGGCCCTCCAAATATTGATAACGGGACATGGGGAGAACGAAATATTGTCCGACACTGTTACAGATCTTGTTTGGGTTTCACAGAGGCATATATTATTGATATGTCTCTGGGTTTCACGACCTGGACACGCGACGGTATGGCGTCGAAACGATATCGAGCGTCTGTAGCAATTTTGCCTGAAACTAGCGATCAAATCTTTAAGCATCATCTTCTTTTGGTATTGCCTTAAATACCCCCTTTTCCCATCACAAAAGTCACCAACATTTGCCGGATGTTGACAGCAGACGCGTAAACAAAAAAGCACGCGTCAAAAAGCGCGTGAAAAAAGTCGTCCGGTCAAGCTTCATCTTCTCGACCAATCAAAACTATGGAAGGTCATTTACCACGTGTGGTGTATAGCTCATATTTATTGAACAGTCTGCATGTTTATACAATGATCTGAGAGTGGAATAACACAGCGTATTGTGGTAGAAATAATCTTACAGCGTCTCTACATTTTTCAGAAATACATTGAGAAATGAGTATGGTATGTTGGCTATATAGAGAAAGAACATCGAATTGTCTAAACACTCAGTAAATTGTTGTAAAATTGTTGCAAAGCAAGCCTATAGCAAGCAGACCCTTTTGTAAATTTATGTGTGATGTTCATATGTTTACCCACTTTATTCTTCTGCGAAATTATGCCATCACTATATTGGTAGATTTCAGACGGTCGATAAAAATAAGCTATTATTATAAAGCGATTTGTCCTACCTTGTCTTTCCTCTCCTTTTCAGTGGTTTTGCCTGGCAGACGTAAAAGCGCAGCATACATGAGTGTTTCTTTCACCGTCAGTGTATGTAATAGACGATCGGTCTGTATCACGTAAGCGGTCGTCTGCCTCACAAAATCATTGGTACATTCAAATTTATTGAGCGTCATCTTCCCCGCCACCTCGCCGTCTGTGCGGCGTGCTATTACGTCTAGTAACGAGGTTTTCCCAGAACCTGGTGAATACCAAGACTAGTATTAGATAAAAAAAACCCTTTCAAATACATGGACTGGAGTTACACAAAGGAAATCCCTTACTAGAGTTACATTGAGAGTTGTACTTGTAAACATGAGGACAGACGTTACATTGGGAACGTACTCGGTAAATACCTACACTAAAGTAACGGTGATGTCGGTAAAGTACATACACCTGGACATCCTGAAGCCGTACCATGTGTACCTTCTCCAGATATCGTTCTCATTCTCAAACTCTGTATCATTTGTTTTGTTCCGGGGATAAATAAATAAAAATCACATTTTGCCAATGATATGAACGAATTTTGACAAGACTTCAGGCTGAGCATTGCTTTAATTTTTCAAACTTGAATTTTTCACATTGTCACATGATATAAGCGAGTTACAAGAAAGCTTGTTTGAGCACATAATTAAAACTTGAACCTGAGAATGGTTTCACGATTACGGACCCTGTAGGAGAGTTACATTAAGGTCGTACGTGTGAACACCTTGACAAGAGTGACATTGTGTTTGTACCTGTAAACACCTGGAGTAGAATCACGTTTAGGTTGACCCTCTTACACCTGTCACCAAACTTTATCTAATAAGGAAAGGTCAATATACATATCAGCAGATGTGGTAAACTAAGGTGTTCCCGGCTGATTTTCGTTCTAATTGAGGAAATGTTTACACATAAACACACCTTCAGTTTCCTGTAAATGGGGGTGTCTTTAAGAGGTGATGCAATAGACTTTCTACTTGCTTGAAAAATTGAGTAACATATTTAACATGATGAAAAAACTATTTGCTCGTGGAAAGCATGTTTTGAGGAAATGCTGAAAATATTGTCTATAATGATTGTGGTTTAAGGATGAACGGGTCTCCAGGAAATTATGTTCATTCTATTTTGATATCACAAATGCACAATAATGCTATTTACTATAAAACTAAAACTCGATCATTTTGACAGAACTATATCCTTTCCTCATCATGTTTTTTCTATTGACCTTTGTTCTGCATGGTATTCTAGGATAGAGACTGGACGTTTGTTGTGCATGGTATTTTAGGATAGAGGATGTACGTTTGTTGTGCATGGTATTCTAGGATAGAGGCTGGACGTTTGTTCTGCATGGTATCTTAGGTTTGAGGCATATGTTCTGCATGGTATTCTAGGGTAGAGGCGGGACGTTTGTTCTGTATGGTAATCTAGGATAAAGGCAGGACGTTTGTTCTGCATGGTATTCTAGGATACGGGCAGGACGTTTGTTCTGCATGGTATTCTAGGATAGAGGCAGGACGTTTGTTCTGCATGGTATTCTAGGATAGAGGATGTACGTTTGTTCTGCATGGTATTCTAGGATAGAGGCTGGACCTTTGTTCTGCATGGTATTCTAGGATACGGGCAGGACGTTTGTTCTGCATGGTATTCTAGGATAGAGGCAGGACGTTTGTTCTGCATGGTATTCTTCTAGGGTAGAGGCAGGACGTTTGTTCTGCATGGTATTCTAGGGTAGAGGCAGGACGTTTGTACTGCATGGTATTCTAGGACAGAGGCAGGACGTTTGCACTGCATGGTATTCTAGGATAGAGACAGGACGTTTGTACTGCATGGTATTCTAGGATAGAGGCTGGACGTTTGTTCGGCTTGGTATTCTAGGACAGGGGCAGGATGGTTGTTCTGTATGGTATTTTAGGATAGAGGCAGGACGTTTGTTGTGCATGGTATTCTAGGATAGAGGCTGGGCGTTTGTTCTGCATGGTATTCTAGGACAGAGGCAGGACGTTTGCACTGCATGGTATTCTAGGCTAGAGACAGGACGTTTGTACTGCATGGGATTCTAGGATAGAGGCTGGACGGTTGTTCTGCTTGGTATTCTAGGATAGAGGCTGGACGTTTGTTCTGCTTGGTATTCTAGGACAGAGGCAGGATGTTTGTTCTGTATGGTATTTTAGGATAGAGGCAGGACGTTTGTTGTGCATGGGATTCTAGGATAGAGGCAGGACGTTTGTACTGCATGGTATTCTAGGATAGAGGCTGGACGTTTGTTCTGCATGGTATTCTAGGATTGAGGCTGGACGTTTGTTCTGCATGGTATTCTAGGATTGAGGCTGGACGTTTGTTCTGCATGGTATTCTAGGACAGAGGCAGGACGTTTGTTCTGTATGGTATTCTAGGATAGACGCAGGACGTTTAATCTGCATGGTATTCTAGGATAGAGGCTGGACGTTTGTTCTGCATGGTATTCTAGGATTGAGGCTGGACGTTTGTTCTGCATGGTATTCTAGGATTGAGGCTGGACGTTTGTTCTGCATGGTATTCTAGGACAGAGGCAGGACGTTTGTTCTGTATGGTATTCTAGGACAGAGGCAGGACGGTTGTTCTGTATGGTATTCTAGGATTAAGGCAGGACGTTTAATCTGCATGGTATTCTAGGACAGTGGATGGACGTTTGTTCTGCATGGAATTCTAGGATTGAGACTGGACGTTTGTTCTGCATGATATTCTAGGGTAGAGGCAGAACGTTTGTTCTGCATGGTAATCTAGGATAGAAGCTGGACGATTGTTCTGCATGGTATTCTAGGATAGAGGCTGGACGATTGTTCTGCATGGTATTCTAGGATTGAGGCTGGGCGTTTGTTCTGCATGTTATTCTAGGGCAGAGGCAGGACGTTTGTTCTGCTTGGTATTCTAGGATAGAGGCAGGACATTTGTTCTGCATGTTATTCAAGGGTAGAGGCAGGACGTTTGTTCTGCATGGGATTCTAGGATAGAGGCAGGACGTTTGTACTGCATGGTATTCTAGGACAGAGGCTGGACGTTTGTTCTGCTTGGTATTCTAGGATTGAGGCAGGACGTTTGTTCTGCATGGTATTCTAGGATAAAC